ATCCATTTTTGGTTGAGCATTGGTGCCCCATTTTTCCTTCACTGCTCTCATACCTTGTATGTTCTCCGCAGCTTTCTTGTCGAAAATAGAACTACATTTGGGACACAGCATCACTTCATACTTTTTCTTCTAGCATTGATGTAAAAATTCTTCCATGTCCTCGTTTTCTTTTGGAAATGTTGTCTTGTTCACTTCCTCTTGTCGAATGGCCTCCTCCAAAGCCTTGGCCTCAGATACCTCAACCATGTTTATCTCCACTTTGCTCTTGGCAACGAGGTTCAGTTTTTACATCTTGGCTTCCAAGTTTTCTGTCGAACCCTTAACGGAAGCCAAGTAAGAACCCGTAGTGGTTCTCTTGTCGGAGATTTCAGCAACTACTTTGTTTGAGCCTTCAGTAGCTCCTTTACTTGAGCCTTCAGTATCTCTTTTGTTCAGGCCTTCAGTGGCCTTCCTCACCCCTTCGACAGTTTTCCTAGATATGTTTCCAATAAAACTGCCAAATACAGGCTTGTTGATGAAGTCCTCAAAAACTTCAACCATATGGATGCCAACTGGTTCAGCATAGTGTGCATCCACTTGTAATGGGTTTGCATCAATTTTCATTGTCGTCTTATCAGCGAACTTGAGCCTTCCTTCTTTGAGTTCTTCTTGAACAAGATCCCTGAAAAGAAAACATTGTGAGGTTTTATGGCCCAGGAAATTGTGATATTTACAAAAACCTCTTTTCTTTCTTTGTTCTAAAGGAGGTGTTTTTGCACCAGGGGGGACTATCATTTGACCATCTTTGACTAATAAATCAAATATTTCGTCACACTTAGTGATGTCGAAACTATATGTTTTCTTTGCGAATCTGTCATTGTTCCTTTCAGACTCAACAAGATTCTTCCCATTTGAGGGCACTAGCAATTTACAAGAGTATGGCGGACCTTGTTTTAGTTCTGCTAAATCTATTTCGCCTTCTTCGACATCTATAGGATCACTAGATGTCTCTGGATCGTCATCATTCATTTCGATATAGGCTACTCTTTCTCTTCGATGCGTTTTGGTCGCTTTAGCCTTTTCGGCTTTAAGTCGTTCTACTTGTCGAACTCTATCGGCCAGCTGGGCCATGTCTCTCAAGTATTGGGTATCTAACTTTTTCCTAATGGAATAATTTAGGCCCCCTTCTGCCATTTCGACCAATTCATGTTCAGGCACTTGGGTAAAGCACCTGGCTTTAAGCAGTCGAAACCTATTTAGATACTCATCTATTGGATCAGTGAATCTCCTCTTCACACTAGCCAGCTCTTTTAAACTTATTTTGGTTTGTCCCATGTAAAATTGTTCATGGAACAACCTCTCCAATTGATTTCAATTATGGATCGAATTGGCTGGGAGGATAGTGAACCAAGTAAAAGCGTTTTTTGTTAGAGAACTTGGGAAATATTTAATTCTAAGGTTTTCGTTGTTTGCTATTTCCCCAGCTTCTATCAAATATCTCGCCACATGTTCGATAGTAGATTCTGTCCTATCCCCTGAAAATTTGGTAAACTTGGGGACTTTTCCCCTAGGGGGTAAGTCTGTTTGCAGAATATATTTTGACAATGGGGATGTGAAGTTTGGTCTGTGAAAACCAACGTTCATCCCATTCTGTATCATAATCCTTTCGATCATGGCAGTCAGATTATTATCTGTTCCATAATTTTGATGTCGAACTTGTTGTATCAATTCATCAGCATTTTGGTTCCTATTCACCATAATCACTCCTTGATCGACTTCTCTAGGGATCGGTGGGGGATTACGAGGTATTTCGATCCTAGGTTGCTCTATTTCTACTCTAGGGATCTGTGGATTTTGATTAACGGTTAAATCTTCTTCCAAGATTACCCCTTGGTTTACTCTTACTGGTATTCTTTGGGGTTGTCGAATAGTTTGGGGTACCCCAAAGAATTCAGTCATGCGCGTTATTTGCGCTGCCATTTGTTGATTCGACTGGGTAGTATTTTGTATTAGGGGGGTTCAGCACTGTACTTTGGGTTTGTGCCAGTATTTGCACCATATCATGGTTTCTTTCATCTATATATTGCCTCAAAATTGCTGTAGAAGCATTTGTGAGGCTTGATATTGCATGTGATGGTCCTCCTAAAAGTTGGTTTCTACCCAAATTTGCCATACTGGCTCCATATCCATGTAATGGCGATGACTTACTCACCAAAGGTTATGAAAAATTAGACGCAACGTTCATAAGGCTAGCCATTTTAGTGGTTGGCATGCCATATGGCTGTTCTCGACCCATCCAGGCTGTCGAAAATCCTGGGGGAACGTACGGTTGAGATCCTGGATTTACCCTTGGTGGTGGTGTTCCTAATGGACCTCTAGGACCTACATACGAAAGTATGGGTCCTGTTTGATTCGTGGTTAACGTTGGTACTGAACCAACAGAAGTTGAGATATTTTCTCCAACGGTAGTTATAACCGTTGTTCCTGTAGTATTTGATAGAGGTATTTCTCCATGATTTGACTCATTAGCCATTTTACTTTCGATATTTCTCTTCCTAACAGTACGCTCGTTGGTGGTTATTCTACCACTTCTTAATAACATGCAACACTGTATACGTGCGAAAGGAAAGCAATAACATAAATGAACAAACAAATGATAAAAATTAGCAAGGTCCCACCAGGTGTGCCAATTTGTTTACTGTGGTTTTTGGTAAACAACCGCTGATCCTCCAAAAGGGAAAGTCCTTTTGGTTACTCGCGGGATCGATCAGATTGATCCCAGAACATATGCTAACTTTTATGCTGGTTTGATGTGAAAGTTAATATCTAGGAAGAACGCATGTTCGACCAGGGATATGGTGTTTATGGTTTTTTAGAAAGCAAATAGAAATACAGATAAAATGCAGGAAACGTAAATTTTTGCAAGAGAAGATCGAAGCAATGTAAAAGACTTTATTTAAGAAAGGTGGTGTTTCCAACGTACATTCTCAGTTATTCTTTCACACACAGCGGGTACTTAAATAATGTTGAGTAACTAGCACAATAGGTTGAACACACGGAAAATCTACACAAACTCCCTATTTTTATACTAAAATTATGTAATTGTCGAGGGGTTGCTTTGCTCTAGGATGAAGACAAGTGTCTTCTGCATGTCCCTCGACCTCTATCTTCCTGCCACGTCGCTTTCCCTTAACTGCTGACGAACTGCATTTCCCTCCAATCTTCAAATTCAAATATCCTTCATCTTTGGTGCTGACACGAGGGTTTTTTCTTCTAGTCAAAGGTTTGATGGTGATTTCTGGTCGAAAACCAATTTGTAACTCAGATATCTTCTCTAAATTTCTCCATTCGTCGAAGCATTTTCCAGCTTGGCTTTATTTCTCTATTTTTTGGTCCATAATGCCAGTATATCGTGGGTGTCGAATTCAAAAGCCAACAGCGTTATACCCAAATGTCGAGTAGCATGCTGGAACATCATGTCCAACATGTGTCTTTTCTACACCTTCATATAATTTTAGCAAGTTAGATCAACTTGAACACTTTGAACACTTCTCTATGTTGTTGTTTTGTAAAAATGCAGTCAATCTAAAGGATCGTTTCACAAAAAACTTCACTTTTAAATTCATCATCATCAAGATAAATCTTAGGAAACAACTTATTCTCATTCTTGTGTTCTATGTGTACCAATTTCTCCTAAAAGTTTGTCGCAAAATAAAATATTATCAATTTGTTGTTTACTAGAGTTGTCGCGTAAATTTGATAGTTTGCGAGCCACCAATACCTTTATCTTCAATAATATTTAGTTTAACCTCCACATCTTTTTGTGGAATCTATCTGACACCATGATATTTCACTCGAAATTACTATTTTGTTAGTTAAAAAAATAAAATAATCAATTTTTCATTTTTTTTTTTAATTTTGTATATTACACTGGTTTCTTTTTTTTTAAAATCGTTATAAATCAAAGATTTTTATAAATTTTCGAAAATTTATAAATTTATACCATATTTATAAAAAAAAACATGTATTAAACCATAAATTTTGAAGAAAAAATAATTTTATATTGATTTTTTTAAAAATCAGGACACCCCTACAATATAAGCAGAATTTATCAAAAAAAGTCTACTAATGTTAATTTTGTGTTTTTTTAAAAGAATTTGGCTTAAATGCAGTTTTGACCCCCCTAGTTTAAGGTTTTTGGAGTTTCGATCCCCCTAGTTTAAAAGTCAGGTTTCTAGTCCCCAAAGTTTTCAAATTTGGGATTTTTGAAGCCCCCTCCATCTGGCTGCCCAAAAAGTGACATGGCACAAGGAGAGTAATGCCACGTTTTTTTTTTTTTTTTTTTTTTTTTTTTTTTTAATTTTTTTTTTTTTTAATTTTTTTTTTTTTTAAAAAAAATATTTTTTTTTTCTTTCGAACCTTAATTTTGCTCATGAGGAGAAGAAAAAAAAAATTTTTTTTTTTTAAAAATAAAAAAATAAAAATAATACGTGGCATTACTCTCCCTGTGCCATGTCACTTTTTGGGCAGCCAGATGGAGGGGGCTTCAAAAATCCCAAATTTGAAAACTTTGGGGACTAGAAACCTGGCTTTTAAACTAGGGGGATCGAAACTCCAAAAACCTTAAACTAGGGGGGTCAAAACTGCATTTAAGCCAAAGAATTTTTATTTATTTACTTAAATAGTAAAATAGTCATTCATATAAAATATGGAGTGAGAGATGCAAGTATAGGGTGCTAGGTAGAATCCTCCCACTTTTTGCATGGTGCAGTACACATCATATGACCTTCATAAATACAGTGATACATATGACATTGACCCGTGATCATGAGATTGTACTCTTCCTAGCTATCTAGTTATTACTACATACACCACCACCCTCTTGTACTTGTTCAACCACCATGCCGGCAAAAAATAATGTTTTATTACTTTTATATCAATCAAATCAACTTAACATACACTTGTATAAATAAACAAGGATATTCATTTTCTGAGTAAAGAGACAAAACAGAATAACAAAAATGAAGCATAAGTTGTTGTTTCTAATTCTAGTTTTCTTAGTTCTTTGTGTAGAAGCAGATGATGATGGGTTTGTGAAAACAAGAGGAGTACAGCTTATGCTGAATGACACCCCTTATTATGCCAATGGTTTTAATGCATATTGGTTAATGTACTTTGCTTCTGATCCATCTCAGAGAAACAAAGTATCATCAACTTTTCAAGAGGCTGCAAATCATGGACTTAACATAGCTAGAACTTGGGCTTTCAGTGATGGTGGTTATAAACCACTGCAATACTCTCCTGGATCCTACAATGAGGAAATGTTCCAGGTTAGTTCATTAGTTTACTCTTCAATCATAAGTTTTGTTTAAGATTTACTCATTTTTGTTTCCACTGTTTTGTTGGATGTTGAAAATAAAAGGGGTTGGACTTTGTGATGGTAGAAGCTAGAAAATATGGGATGAAAGTGATTTTGAGTTTGGTGAACAACTATGAGGGTCTTGGTGGGAAGAAACAATATGTGGAATGGGCAAGGAGTGAGGGACAGTCCATAAATTCTGAAGATGATTTCTTCACTAATAATGTTGTGAAGGGTTACTATAAAAACCACATTAAGGTAACTTTGTTTTTGTTTTTGCTATTGCCACTAATACTATGCTTATTTGCTTGTTGAGGGAAGAAAAAAAAAAGAAATTTTAAGACACCTTATCCTTTCTATGTGCTTTATTATTACTATAGACAGTGCTTACAAGACATAACAACTTCAGTGGAGTTGCTTACAAAGATGACCCTACTATAATGGCCTGGGAGCTTATGAATGAGATTAGATGCTCTTCAGACCATTCAGGAAATACAGTCCAGGTAAACCATATTTGCTTCATTACTTACTGCATGACATATAAATCTTGATTTTGACTTTTTTGAGATTGCGATTTTCGAATAGGGTTGGATTACTGAGATGGCATCTTACTTGAAATCCATTGATGGAAACCATTTGCTTGAAGCTGGTTTAGAAGGCTTCTATGGACAATCCAAGACCGAATCTAATCCTAACTTTCAAGTAGGAACCGATTTTATTGCAAACAACCAAATCCCCAACATCGATTTTGCAACACTACATTCCTACCCAGATCAATGGTTTGTGTCAATGTCGTGTCTGAATCTGACACTTGAGATTACGTTTAACTTATTAATGTCTTGTTTCTGGTGTTCGTGCTTCGGAGTGGTTTGTGATTTTGTTTTGTTTTACTTCCCATGAGCAGGTTATCAAGTTCAAGCTATGAAGACCAACTCTCTTTCTTAAGGGAGTGGCTCAGTGAGCACATCCAAGATGCACAGAACATCCTTCACAAGCCACTTCTACTTGCAGAATTTGGAATTTCCACTAAAAACTTGGGCAATAATAGCTCAATACTGAGGGATAAGTTTTTCAATACAGTATATTCAGCTGTATATTCATCAGCAAGTGCCGGTGGAACCGCTGTTGGTGGCTTATTTTGGCAACTTCTTGCTCAAGGGATGGATTCTTTCCGAGATGATTACGAAGTGATTTTAGCTGAGAGTACCTCAACATCAACTTTGATTTCTCAAGAGTCTCGAAAACTAAAACGAATTCGCAAGATGTACGCCAGACTTCTCAAACATTGACAAGTTGAACAAGACATAGCTATATCAGTGATATTTATATTCAAAAGCTGATGATAAACTTTTATTTGGAAAACTATTAAGATACACATGGAACTGCACTGCTTACGTAGTTTACTACGCATGTTTTTTGAACATTTACTTTCTTAAATTGAGTACACTATGTATTTCAACTACATAAGTGCCGGAAAACTAACTATTGTACTCAAGTTTATATCTAAACTCTGGAGATCGACCGGATAATTTAAGTGCTTCATATAACTGTTCCATCTTTAATTGTTGCATTCTTCAGTATAACGGTGATGCCTGACCTAATGTAAAATCCTTCCTTAGTTTTATCTGCTTCTTCAACACCCTGACAAATCAGCAGAGAAGAATAGACAATGAAATACACCATTAATCAAAATCTTTTGCTGCAGTTTTTGAAAGAAAGGTTTTGAAACAGTACTTACATCCGCATTGGTAATGGTAACATTTCTTCCGATTTTTGCATTCTTGTCGATTATACAATTCCTTAAAAAAAGTTTCATTGTAAAATTGTCAGAAATAAGAAATCAAGGCTTTACGTTATAACTGTGTGACATAGTTGTACCTGATTTTGGTATTTTCTCCAACACCGATTGGGACATTTCCTTCTGCCAGCAGAGATGCAATTTCAGCCTCAGTTTGATAGTAATCAGCACCCATCATCATGGTATCCTAGATAGCAAAATCCATCAAGAAGGCATATACCGAATCGAAGATGCAAAAGTTTCAAATCAAAGAGCTAGAAGTGTGGAACACGAACTAAAGATCGTCAATAACTGCTCATACTCGATTAAACAAAGAAAAAAAGTGACAAGTGCAGAAAATGTATACCTGAAGCTCCACACCAGACTCTAAACGGGAGCGTATACCAACAATAGAATGTTGAACACTACATTCTCTCAAGAAGCAACCATGAGAAATAATTGCATCCACAATCTATTGAAACCAATTCATCATTCTTACATTAATATTAACAACAAAAATCAATCAAGCACTCATATTCAGCATAAATTCCTTTGTAAGAGGTGGGTGTAATACCTTGCATTTTTCTACTTTAGTGGGAGGTAGGAATCTTGGTGAAGTGAAGAAAGGTGTCTTTGGATCATAGAATTGAAATTTTGGATACTGCAAGTAATGACACAAGTAATCAGTAAATTTCCAACATTCTTCCTTTTGAAGGGAAACTTACTCGTTAGTAAAATCAATTATTCACTTTTTCTCAATTGCATTATTAAATAAATTATAGGAAATTCAAACAGACCGGTTCTGTTAGGGCCAGATTTGCGTCAAAGAAGGACTTTATGGTTCCAATATCTTCCCAGTAGTCATTGAACAAAAATGCCTGTGAACGCAAATATAAACAGAATCATGAAGTTAGTTACCGATATCGTTCAAATATTTTCAAAAAGAATAGAAGTAAGGATATCCCCTTTCACCTGGACATTGTGCCCGTTAACAGCAGACGGGATGATTTCAGATCCGAAGTCATTGCATGTAGAACCGTTCAATTTTAATAGTTCAAGTAGGGTCTCAGTTCTAAACACGTAGACACCCATGGACGCAATATAAGGCTGTTTCTTTGCTTCTTCGGGAGATAACCCAAGAACCGTGGTATCAACGCGCTGCATTTATTATTGATACATTAGCTAGGCAACAAGTAGATTAAACTTACTAGCAAGTATTCAGGTAAAAATGGATGTAAGAAAGCACAAGCTTGAGATACTATTAATCACCATTGCTTTCAAATCTGATCCCTTAGGTTTTTCAGCAAACTGTATAATCCGTCCTGTTCCGTCAATTTTCATCAACCCATAATCTGATGCTCGACTACAAGACACATGAAATCATTGAAATGCTATTATTGTTCATGAATATTCTGCCTCTAGTAAATGAAGTGGTATGCATTCATTGTAAAAATTGAATGAAACCATATCAGGCAAATATACCTGTCGTCCATTGGAAGACACGAAACTGTGATATCAGCATTTGTGTCGATGTGTTTCTGCAATGATATCCTCAAGTCAAAAGCATCATTAGTTTTAGAAAATGAATAACAGGGTATAAAATCCATTAGTTGTAATCTTAGAGTAGAAACTATATCAACTTTCACCTGTACAAAATCCATATAGTTCATTCGGTAAAGATGATCACCGGAAAGTATCAATATATGCTCAACATTCTTGGTCTTAGCATCCTGTGTGACAATAATCCAGACACATAAGCTATACTCAAGAGAAAACTAGCTTAAGTATTGTCAACAAGAGAAGTGCTAAATATCACTTAAGTTTTTCTTCACGTATAGCAAAATGACAAATGCGCATTATGTCAACCAATAAGCATCCGGTAACAAACAGGTTTGGCAGAAATCACACATAGCCAATTGCATTTATTCTCACGTTTTTGTTTCCGAGCCACATTGATCTGTAACATGTATCACTATCCTTTCAGCAAATATGCAATATCACAATACTTTACCTCAAAAACCCATAAAAATTGCCTCACAGCATCAGCTGTCCCTTGGAACCATTTCTTCCCCGCCTCTCCAGATGTTTGAGTTGCCGCCAATACCTATATGTACATGCAATTATCAATTACAATTCAACATTACAATCACCCATTTTACATTTTCATAATGAATAAACCCTAAACCGGCTACAAATTTTAAACAATTTACAAGTAACTCACCTCCACAAAACCCTCACCATAAGTAGAAACATTTCCAAAATTATACGCGCGAGACAAATGCCGGTTGAGTGAGAAAGAATTGTACTGTGTCAAGATGAATATTTTTCTAATCCCACTGTTGATGCAATTGCTCATAGGAACATCAATGAGCCTATAACACCCTCCAATTGGAACCTACAAAAAAAAAAATCCCCAAAAATAATAACAAAATCTGCATAACCTATATTCAAATTACAATCACAAGTACTATACTATTAACCAACATTGAAATCAAAATTGAAAATTGAAAGAATTGAGAATGAAAATCATATATATATATATATAAATACATACAGCAGGTTTAGCTCTTTTGCTAGTAAGAGGAAAAAGGCGAGTTCCAGCACCACCACCCAAAATGATTGAAGCAACACTTTTAGGGTCTGCTTTAGGAGTATCAAAATAGGGTCCATCTTGAAAAGTCTGAAATCAAAATAAAATAATAAAAAATTCAATTTTTTTCACTTTATGATAATATTTGAAAATTGAGTAGTTTACTAGTTTACCGTGGAGTCTTCAAAATCATTGATCCCTGTAGTGAGAACCGCGTCAGTTTTAGGCTTGAAGTTTCTGAGAATGAAGCGAGTTTGTGAAGTTTTGGGTGATTGAATGGTACAGAATCTTGAAGTTTCACCTAAGAAAACAGTGTTTCTGGTTCTTCCAACTCCTTTAAGAGATGCACAAGATGAAAGTATTGATGAATCCATGGAAGTGTTGTTGTTGAGGGAAGAAGAAGAATGGTGTTTGAAATGGCGGTGACTCACGAGAATCGTGGTGAGTCAAACTCGGTTTCTCTCTCAGTGACTCAGCAATGGCTCTACAAATTTCTATGAGTGATTCCTGAACTGAACATGACCCTTCCTTTCAACGTTTATGTGATGTTTTTTTTTTTTATTTGTACTAAATCTTTGAATTTGCATTTGTCCAAAAATAAACTTTTTTTAAATATATTGAAACATGAACATTGATTTCTTTTCAAATGATTTTTAAGATCAAAACGTGTATCAAATTGCGTATATTTTGTTTGTAAGATTCTGTTCGTTTTTTATTATAACTAAAGTTGATTTTTTTTTGGATTTTTTAATAACTTATATTCATTATTTAATAAATTTAAAAAATCAAATTTTACTTATAAAAAAAGATATATTATATAGACACGGGTGTTTGCAATTTGATTTGTATCGATTTTAAAATAAAAATCTATTCGATTTAAAGATAAAATTTCTTTTAGTTTGATTGGGTTTTGAATAATATATTTAAAAAATAGTTTAAAGATAGTGTACTTTCAGTATAAAATATTTTACACAATACATTACAATTCTTAAAAAAAAAATTTATATCTGATTTACAAAAAAATCAAACTTCTACAAAAATTAATGATTATGATTTTATTGATAATGTAAAATCATTTTACATTATCGATGTATTTTCATTAAATCCTTCAAAAAATCTGATTCAATTTAATCTAATTTAGTACGATTTAATTTAGATTGATTTTTAATTATTCAAATTATAAATTTTGTTTTTATTAATATTATAAAAATATTAATAAATTATAGACTTGAAACATATTAAATTAATATTATAAAATAAAAATAATCAGCTATAGTTCAAATAAATAAAATATTAAAAATAAATAAATTAAATCAAGTTAATAAATAATATTAAAAAAATAATTTTCCTTTAATAATAAATTCATATAATATATCATATCACTAAAATTTTAGTTTCCTTTTTTAGTTTTCAATTTATTTGAACCGAGTCAAGTAGTTTTTATAAAATAACATTCAAATATCTCTAATAAATTTTAATTTCTTTAGTTTTTAATTTTTCTAAATCAATTTACAGTTTTTATTTGGATTAGTTCATATTTAAACACCCATGCCTAAAACCAATACATTATTTCAAACATTCAAGTTAGCCTAAATTTTTTGTTTCATATGAAAAACTAAATTCTTTTTTTAAAAATAATAAAAATTACATTTACAAAATTATATCTAAATTTTATTTTATTAAAAAATTGAAAACCCTATATTAATTAGGTGTTGGTCTGTTCAAATTACTTTCCAATAATAAAAATTAATCGATATTAATTGCTCAATACTAATTGTTCTTCTATTTATATATAAATATAATTTTTTAATTACTTAATAGTATAAAACTCGTGCGTCCGTATGAGTAAGTTCATTCATATCTTAAATTATTTAATAACAATATAAAATAAAATTATATTGATGTCTTTACATGTATTAACAATAAATGATGAAATATGAATTAAAAAAATATAGGCAATAAACTGTTTAAACCAACAAATATTTGGATTGATGAACCCTAATTGATATTTTGCAGCCGCACAATCAAAGTCAATCAGTGACGTTCATAAATGCAAAGAAATACACTCTTTCAATATAAATCTTGCATACAACATAAATAAACAAATAATCAATGATCATATGTCTCAACCTTAGCACAAAAATCGGTCAAATAAACACACTAATCAGTTAAACAAAATAACAAACAGACTAAGAACTATGAAGCCACAATCCAGACATGCATGTAAACAAATCAAAACAGATGGTATTAATTAGGTGTAAGTTTGTTCAAATTACTTTCCGGTAATAAATATTAGACGGTATTTATATTTAAATACAATTTTTTAATTATTTATATAGAATAGAGTGTATAAAAATTTAATCGAAATATATTGATAATATAAAATATTTTTATATCATCAATAAATTATAACTGTTAATTTTTTATAAATTTATAATTTTTTTGTTTAATTATATATAAAATATTATTTATAAATAATTGTAATTTATTAATCGTATAAAATATTTTACACTCACAATATACGACAATTATTCTTTATTTATAATAGTTTTCATCATGAAATAATAAAGTTGTCTCGTACTTCAATCCTGTTTAGGCTTTTCATTTTTTAGAAAACAAAAAGCTTAATTGTTGTTTGTTCAAGCATTCAAAAAGGATTTTTAAGAATAAGTTATATGAAAATAAAAATAAAAATAACTTTTTTTAAATATTTAAAAAAATTGACATATTATTTGATTTTTTTTTTTAAATTGTAATTATATTTTTTAATAAAAAAATCATGTAAAATTTTATAAGAGTGAAATTTTCGTCTTCTTACAAAAAATAAAATTATTAAAATTATCAAAAAATTATTTTATTTTTTGAAACATTTATACTTAAAATTAACTTTTCTTCAAACTTTAAGGAACTGCGTGGCCATGTCACTCATGTTTATTGGAAGAAATTACTCTTTGACAATTATGCTAGACCCAAAGCAAACTTCTTCCTCTTTATGGCATTATGGAATAGGATCCCTACTAATAGTAGATTGCAAAAACTTGGTTTTGTGGATGAGAGTAGATGCACTTATTGTAGGGAGGAAGAAACAATGCAACACATCTTCTTTGAATGCATACACACCAAAGATGTTTGGAAGGAAATTTTAAATTGACAACACATTAGCCTTTGCCCCCTTGAGTGGGTCCAAGAAACAAAATGGATTCTTGGGAGAACTAAAAGAAATAAGCCTAGTGGATTGATGCTGAAAATGGCTTTTACGGAGACCATTTATGAGGTATGGCAGGATAGAAATAATTTTATTTTTAATGGTAAGCACCTGGAAGGAAATATTAGAGATAGAATTAAGCATGTTGTCAGAACTAGATGTAGTATGTACAGGAAATTAAGAAGCCACATAACGGGGTTTACTTAATTGAGGTCTAATTGGACTCTTGAATCTTCGGATCAGTTATACTTAAGCTGTTTTTGGTTAATAAAGTATTGCTTTTGATCCAAAAAAAAAAAAAATTTCTTCAAACTCTTTATTTTTTAAATAATATTTTGTGAAATTTAATTCTTAAACTTGAAATAAACATCAGCTTATATGAGTGAGTTTTTTTTAGTTTTTTAGATTTTAAAATTAACTTTATAAATTAATTTTATAAATTAATTTAAAAATCAAAATAAATTAAGAAATGTTTGATAATTTTATTTTAAAAATCATTTTAAAAATAATAAATAAAAAACATTTTTATAACAAGACAGCTCATATAATTTTTTAAATATTAAAATTTCACAATACTAAAACGATTATTGATAAAAATTATATATAAAAATTACATTCGACCCAATGCCCAAGTGATTTGGGCAATAGTGGGTTAAGAAATATTGAATGGTGATGTAGGCAGAGACGGCATAATACAAATAATCTCTGGTTTTTTTCCAGATTTTGGGAGCATCTAGAATAATTAGTGAATTACAATTATATTGTACTGCAATTGGTACGTTGGTCTTTGCAACCTTAATGCTTTTTGCTAGTTTGTGACTGGACAAATGAACTAAAGTAGATCATTGCATCTAGCAAGGGTAAAGGTTGGAGAGCGGATTTGCTTAAGATGTCTGCTACCAAAACGACTTACGGCGTTTGGCACTACATAATTGATATATGTTTTGGAGACTTTGTAGATAATACGATAATATAATTGATTCAATTGTTTATATAGGGTGGAATAGAAGGAATTTTAGGTCTCAATTAGCAAAGTTTATGATGTTTTAGGTTTCTTTGGGTTTTTGAATTTTGTTTTGAATATGTTTGTGGGTTGGATCCGAGTGATCGTCTTATATCTTTTTCTCTTTTTTTGAATTAGTACACCAGTTTCTTAATTCAAAAAAATTATATATTTTTTTTGTTTGTAATTTCTATAAATTAAAACAAAAACATCTAATTTTTTTAATTTTTTAATTTTTAAAAAATATATAAGTAGAAATATTTTTTAAATATAATTTTATAAAATTAAATAACAAAACAAATTTTATTATTTTTAATTTAAAAAAAAAAAATTACAAAATAAAATAATATTTTTTTATTTTGTATTTCATGGTGTTATATGAACATATGTTCACTGTAATGTTGAAACAATGTTACAAAAGAGATTTACATGAAAAATGATTAATCCATGTATATAGACAATTAATTCTCCCAACTGATACTTGAAAGAAATTGACGATATGGGTGATGTCTTACTTTACGTTAGAGATAGCCTTAGTGTGAGCGATTTATGATGGTATTGACGAGTAATTTAGATTGTGTGCAATTGATCTGCAAGTTTAAGTATTTGACGGATATAGTGAAATGTGATTCCAGAATGAATTCTCTTAGGCCACAGATGATTATTTATCGCTTTCTTTATTGCTTTATTTACTTTACCCGCACTTTTTCTGCAAACCCTTTTCCAAACTTAGAAAGATTGAAACTGTTGAACGATAGTTTTCCCCTCTCACTAATCCCCGTGAAGACGATACGATATAACTTATATATCACCCTTATAAAATACTTATTTTTGCTTGCCGCTTTACCGCTCCAATAAAATGGCACTATTGTCGGGGATTGGTGTTGATATTAATTACATCGCAATAGTTTTGCTTTCTAAGTTTCGTAAATATGTTTATATCATACATTTGTGCATCTTTTACATACTTGTTCATTCATATATCGTATACTTGTTTTGTTTCACGTTTGCCAAAGTATGGTTATATGTGTAGTTCAGGTTAGAGCTTGAAGAGATTTGAGTGAAGGCATGTTATTGTGGTATATAACGGCAAGCAAAAAGTAAATTATTATTTTTACCGGGTGATATAGGTTATATTGTATCGTGTCCACTGAGATTGGTTATTG